ATTTGCCGAAAAGTATACTTTGCCTAACAAATTAACTTTTCAAGTTAAAAAAGAAATTATGCTTGTCAATAAATAAGAGTATAACTGTTAGGGGTGTAGGCTGGCCAAAGGGTCTCCTGAGGTGTCGTGGCTGCCGCCGACTGCAACAATTATTCCTTTGTCAACATATGGACTACCTTCAAGGTAATATGCCTTCGCGGGGGTTGCGCCCACGCGATGACTGTCCACACGCGATGACCTAGACCTCGAGGACACAGACGCACGCAAGCCTACGCGCCTGAAAACTGGTCGCGTGACCTTATACCAAGCGCCCAATGATGCCACAAACGAACGCGAATGGCAATCCCTTATAGGACACTGTCATCTCTCAGACAGTGAGTTGAAACACGGATTGCGAGGACACCGCAAGTCCGCCCCCACTGCGGGGACACAAAGGCGCCCTGGAGATCAACCAGCGGCTACAGCGGGTTTTGTACACAATAAACCCTCCTCCGGGTGCATCCCACATTTATGCCCTTCTATTGTGTTCTTCTTTGGAGATTCCAAAGGGCGTAATTAGACGGTGACAGCACAAAGTGCCACCGTTATAACAATAACAGGTTACTTTTTGGCATTCAGGATAGTTGTTTGACTCGAGACACCTAGCAGTCTCTTTTGCTAGCAGCCGTGAGGTGAATCACACTTGACTCAATTTACCCGCCCAGCCTACTGCAATGAATGAAATCCATTGACTATGATACAGTACGCTGACTGCCCAAGCAGGATTTCCTAGGCGATCTTGATAGACTTGAATAATTAACCTGGCGGCTTTTGATGAGAGCCTCGTAGCCCAGGTGCATAGAGCGCTGGCTGTAATAAAGCCTTTTCCTGCCTGAGGTGGATTCAAAACCCACCCTGGCCGCCGACTTCATAGTTGGGTCAAATAGAATATTTGAATCTATCAAATCCACATCTTACAGTTGTCTTTGCCCAGCCAGGTTTAGTTATGCTGACGGGTTGTCACGATTATCGAATGGTGGCTTCGAAAGTTTTCGTGACCTCGACATAACCCTCGCCATCGAGGCATTCATCTGTTTTTACTAAAATCCAGGCGGCAGTTTAACCACATACAGTCAATAAAATAATCACTACTATTCAGCACGGCCGCTGCATGAGTTCATCAAACAGATACTGGCGTGCTAGGAGACCCAACATACTTTTATCGCTACAGTATTACCTCCTTGCATTGTCCCGCGGACCTATCTGGTCTGTTTGAAAACCTTGGGTCGAAGCGGTAGTTGAGGTGTCTCCGAAATCGACTGGAGACCATACCCTCACAGAGATCAGTCTTCTCGCACAACTAGCATCTACGCGGGCCTGCTGCAGTGACCACCGGAGAGTTCATTGGTTAGGTGAATTGCTACAACAGCCAGTCGAGGAAAGATATGGGAAGCAAACGTACATACAAAATGCACACGCCTTGGCAGTACGGAGCACGGATATGTCGCTGTTCTCTGGTCAGTCCAGGAGCAGTGTTGCTTAAGTGGCAGTCGAAGAGCAGTTGCGCGGAGTGGTTTAATAAATAAGGCTGATTTCCTATATTTTAGGGGGTTTAAGAAAGCCTACATACTCTAATCACTCAACCGAAGAGGCTGAAGGATGGCAGGTAGCATCGCCATGCGAAAGGTAACGCATCAACAGTAAACTCCACTGTGTGGTTACCGATCGACCAACGCAGTAAAACTTGCAGACACGGTATTGGTGTGATTCTCGTGGTTTTTCCCAAGGAAGGCACTGTGCTTCGACCTATAATATCACTCGAAGTTCCTCAAATAAAGTCTCTATTGACTTAGACATTCAGTGAGTCTCTATGAACCTGGGGTTTGTACTATCAAGGAGCTATGGTTCTGGTCGGGTTTGCCGAGGGACAGTGACGCTTACCGGAATATTTTTTTGGTCAAACAACAACGTATGTTGCGTTTGACTCAACTTTCCGGAAAAGTGCCGAAAGAACTACCAGATAGAGGAATTGCTGGAATTTAAAAAGTGGTTTTTTATACACGACACAGTCAACTACGTCTCGGAGGCCGTCGGCCGGTTTCTCGCATCACTTGGAGTTGGAGTCGCATACAGACCAGAGGCAACCATTGGGTGTCAGATAATGCAACCAAAAGAGTCACTGCCACGGCAAGAAGCATTTTAAGTCGGTTTTGGATATGCGGGCAAATTTGCTATATTGAATAAACGGGAAGACCGCTCTGAACGCGAATTGACGCACACACAGCAGCAGTACATTCATTCGACGAGACCCGACCACATATTCAAATTCGAAGTCGAAATTTTCGCGAGAGGCGATAATCACGCGTGGCGGTAGTTGGTGGAATTATGATTTACGAGTCTCTGGTCTATTAACGTGTGCAACGACCTCCCCAACCCATATTCGGTGTCGAGACTTGGGTTGGTCAAAACAATAGGCCACCAGGGAGCGTGAGACGAACAACGTTCCCAACGCCAGTGTCGGGTGGACGAGTAATCATCAGACCAACCTCTAACACGGGTGATGAAATTTCACCAGATGATGGCTCACATACCGGCCAAAAAGCAATCAGCCTACCAGAGAAGAAGCAGTCTTGATGAAGAGGCAAGCCGTTTAATTGTCATTAGTATGCGTTAGTCTAGTGATTTCATTCTATACATACTGCAACTCTCTTCGTAAGAATTATCCTTATCGGGTACTGCCTATTAAAACGAGTTCGGACTGGAATCAGAAATGTCAAACGAATAATATTCTTGCCTCGGCGATTGCGTCGACTTCTTCAAACATAAAACAGTATGGAAAAAGCATCTGATACCTACAAAGTATGGCAGTTCTATTTTTTGCTTAAGAGGACTCGCGCTTCCCGTTGCGATTTTTTTCTAGGCAAAAGCTCTGTAATGAATTCTGGTGTTTGGTGATGTATGTCGCACGGAAAAAACCTGCGGCGGATTCTTCTTAACGATTAAATCGGGCAGTCAGTCAGCTGGTGTAGTCCCGCAGCAGTAGGAGGTGATAATCTGAGAGCAGCAAAGCCAGTGAATAATGGGCAAGGTTGAAATCGGTCCTTTAAAGGAAACGAATATGGCACTAACTTTCTTGAGGAGACTAGGTTCACACCTTAGCTTTTACTGGGCGGAGTCTATAAGCGGGGAAAAATACCTCTCGGCCGTCAAGATGTGAACTTACCAATCGAAGTATGGCGAGTGGCAACCACAGAGGACGTCGAGGACGAAGATAAAGGGAGCTGGCTCACAGCAGACACGACGGGAAGGCAGGACCATCGCTGGTGCGCGGTTGCAATAAGTTGAGCCTCGTGCTGGACCACCAGGCCGCAAAGCGCTGCCACCAATTCGCGTCGAACCAGGGGACTGGCATCGCCAACTGAGATCAGAACCAGCTGTGCTCCCACCTGCTGGCTCAGCTATAAAAGTGTTTTGGGAAGGAAAGGCGGTTTCAATAAAAACTGCTTGTGCACACAGGTACAGTTCACAGGTCAGCGGCCGCATTACGTGAAGTATACACCAGTATCGAACTACTAAATTATGAGTAGAAGACTGGGCAACCACCGAAACTGTTTGTTTATTCTCCCGAGCTTTCAAACTCGTACAGGAGTTCACCGTCAGAGGTAATAGCGGCAGCAAAAAAGGAAAGGGGCATTTATAGGGCT